AGAGAACCCCTGTTCAGCTCGCACCCCGTTAGTGATTAAGAATACACCCCGGGCAGGCAGTGTCAGGTCCCACCACACGCTACGCCAAGCGTTGAAAGTCCGGGGCTCCCACGTTTGCATTTAATACCTTTTTGGGAAAATTATGGTGCCCTGTAACGTCTGCTGAGAGGCAAGATCGATGCCTCTTTCTAAATACAAGTCTAGTGCCCTCAGGCTCCTTCTGAGCAGGGACAAAAGGCTCGCGCTGCACAGAGCTGACGCCTGCCATCACAAGGCACTGAGGGAGCCCCCACTTCCATTTAGTGGTGGCTGCTGGAAACGGCAATGGGCATCAGCGCCAGGTTCCTGGTTTTTGGGCAAAATGTTTTGAGCTGATTTTGCCCTTTCCCACTACTTTCAAGCGTGTTTTCACAGGCCCACGTTACATGGCGAAGGAGAGCTGGTGGCACAGTGGTTAAGCACTTGCCTGCTAAGCCGGAGGTGGGTGGCTCCCTGGGAGAAAGACGAGCAGTCCGCTTCTGTAGATTTCCGCCTTGGAAATGCTCCAGGGCAGTTCTCTGTCCTGCAGGGTTGCGATGAATTGGAATCGACTCAATGGCAGTGGGCTCATGGCACTATACAGACTTTGAGTAGGAATGAAAAGAAACAAGGACAAAGCAATGCAAAAAGCCCATCTCCAAATCAAGTTGCTTTATTTAAAATGATGAACAAGTTTCATCCAAGGCAAAGTTAAAAATACCAGTTAAATGGCAGACGTACAGGCATTCCACGGCAGGGCCCACAGCAGACGGGAGCAGAACTCGGAGCCTGCCGAGAGGGCCCTGCTGCCTCCAGGAGGCCCAGTGCTCAGGGGACAGTCCTGCCCGTAGGCAGCATCTGCCACCTGCAGGCAGCAGGCCAGGGCTACTGTTCCTCCTGGGAGATCAGTGGGCACCAGGGGACTCAAGCCTGACCCAACACTGAGGCAAAGTCGAGAGCGACACCTCGGGGCACACGGTTCGTATGGTTTGGCTCTATCACGTAACATCAGTATGACACCTTGACATGGGCGAGGGCGGGGACGCATGGAAGAGAAACCACCGAGCACAGACCCATCAGCAGTACTTGGTATGCACATCAGGAAGGACCGAGGGAAATGCTACACGCAACTGAAAACACCTACAGGTGCGTCCTTAGACGCCTACCTCCAAGACACCACTTTCCACAGAACTGACTGTAGGCCTCTTGCTCCAGCCTGTCTCTTCCCCAAACCCTAAATCCTAGCCAGGCCGACCACCCAATACATTTCTCCCCCCTGGCAACTTTCTGGCCGACGCTTCATCTCAATACCACCGGCCAATGACAGGGAGGCCCGTGCTGCTGGGCACACACAGCTATGGTGTCAGCTGCGTTCTTTCCTGGAACGCCACGAAACCTGCGCGTGGCAAGGACTTGCTGTCCAGCTGTGGAAATGGGCGTGCACAGGTCAGCGGCCCTGTGTCAAAGGTCAGCCCAGGGGGCCGGGGACCAGGGCTTTTCACCGCTGCCTCTCCAGCACCTAGAACAGAGCCTGGCACCTAAACATCATTGAATGTGTGAAGGATTACTCAACGGGCAGCTCCAAGCATGGGGCGAGGACTGAGTCATGACATGTTTTCAGGGCTCTCCCCTCAAAGGTGCCACCTGAAACCTGTCAGAATCCTGAACTCCCCAGGGGTAGCTATGCACAGAACAAATGCTCCAGGCTGATGGTGAAGCCTCTGGTACCTCCCTTGTCCCCAAGGCCCAGGCCTCCCGATGCCCTGGCTGTCCTGGGTCCCCACTCATGTCCCTCCTGGCCTGCTCCTCTCCAGCAGTAGTCACTAGGTCAAGACCCTTTCCTCCACACCCAGCGCTTATGAAGATCAGCCATTGTCTTTGGTGGTTTTAACCTTCACCTCACTGCTGTGGCCCCTACTCGGGCAGGGGCGTGTGAACAGGGGTCCCGTGGTGCCTATTCTCTAACTAATCCACTACTCTCACACTCGTTCCCACCTCTCCCCTGCCCTGCTTCTCAGCGGCTGGCCCACGGTGGTAGGAAGTGGGGTGGGGAGCAAACGCTTAGCCCGGGCTAGAACAAATGAAATGGGTTCCACAGTTCTTCACTGGGGGCAACAGATGAACAGTAGCACGGGCCCTGTGCTACCCAGGGCTTCAGGAGACGTGCCTGCAGGCCTGGGACACGGGCTGGGCCTGATCCTGGATATTGCTACTCAAACAGGAATCACCGCATTTGCAGAGAGACCAGGGTAGCTAACTATCAGGTTCAAACCCTCTCTCCAACGTTCCAGCTGCTGGCAAACACGTCCCACCGCTCTCCCTGGTGGCTAAGAGCCTTGGTGTGTGTGTGTGTTTAAATTGAAGTCTAGAGAACAGTGGTTGGTGTGAAATGGAAAAGCTGGCACAGAACTGAAAAAAAGGGGAACAAAATCCCCAGTATTGATACCTGGGCGTGGAGGGGGGGGTGGCTTTTTGAAAACGACAAGAAACTTTTGGAAAGGAGAAGCAGGAACATCAATCGGACAGTGAGCACCTAGCTTCTATACTCGGGGTTCACTCTCCTCACACCCCAGCAGGTACCACCCCACCTCACCCCGCCCTGGGTCTCCCGGGAGGAGGGGGCAGTGCCCCTGGAAGGTGGAGGGATGGGCTGACCCTGAAGAAAGTGGCAGCACTTTCTCCCACCAACCCTGCCACACTCCTGGGCAGGCACTTCAGGAGGAAGAAAACTGAACAAAAACAGGCCCAGGCCCCTGGAGCCGAGCTGGGGTCAAGAAATGAGAACACGTTGAACACTGGACAGCGAGGCCTGGCTCTTCCTGACCAGAGACCTCGTCGGGGGCTCTGAGAAGGACACCATGCAATCCTAACCCATCCACGGTAACTCTGCACTCTTCCAGAAGGTACAGTGAGAGCGCCTGCTCCAACCTGGCCGCCCCTCCGTTCTGACTCAGAATAGGACTTCTTGCCTGCCCCGTCACATCACTGACAAGCCTCCCCTTATTATTTAAATTTAGTTGAATTCAGGGATGGATTAAGGCAAGCAGGTGAATCAACAGGGCAAGAGATGGAACCTGCAGGTCACCCCCAATGTTCACCCCGGTTACTTAGTAGTATACACAGCTCCCCAAAGACTAGGGGGCCTGCCTCTGCGTTACTTCCTTTATGTGACACGAGCCCCACCTGACGTCATCAAGCCAAACAAAGCACTGTGACGGACAGAGTGCTTCCTACTTAAGGTAACGGGGGGCCATCGTCAAACCACACCCCGCTTATAATTTAAGTCCTGGGATACACTGAACACCATTTTCATACTTTGTACTTAAACAAAACCCTATGTGTTATTACCCTCCTGCCAAAAAAATAGTCACATCACGTAACAATGGCCCTGGAATAGCTCCCTGTGATGGTGGAGAACAGGCAAGAGATCGTGCTGGGCAGTGGTGGCAGCGGCTGCAGGGCTGACGGGGTACTGTCATCGGACTTGTCTCTGGATGAACGGTGACATGTGGAGCAGCTCACACTCACGGCACTTACACGTGCCCGGTTCACACGAGTCATTGTCAGCTCACCACTTGCGACGTCTCGCTAGTGTGCACTGCGCCTGGGGACCACTGATGCTCCTTACCAAGGTCAACATCATTAACAGGTCCCACGAGACGCTGCAAGGATCGCCCCCTCCAGCCTCACCGACGGGCAGCTTGGTTTACGGGAGACAGTACAGAGCCTTCTTACCCACCATTGTGCCAGCCTTCAGTGCTGCACAGGGCTTGGCGCATTTTTCAGCTTCTTAGTAATCTAGTCTTAGCAAGCAGTCACAACAGCCTTTGACGGAAGACAGGAGCTTGGATCAGAGAGGGATTTTCCAATTCAAAGAAGACAAAGAAGGTAGGAGCAGAAGAGGTGGGAACCGAGCTGGGTGGCTGCCACCAGTGCACACCGGAGCCACCTCGGGGAGTCTCTTTACTTGCTCAGGGGTGAGCCCGGCTTCCGCAAGTGTCCCTAATCCTGCCAAGGAAAGTACAAGTGCTGTCATCAGCATGTGGACAGCAGAGGTGTGCAGAGCTAGAAGGAAAGTGTTAAAAGCAGGACTGCCAACCCCCAAACCCCCGTGTTGAAGTAATGGCAGGGCTTCCTTTAAAAATTTCTCTAATAAGTTACAGCCACGTGTCAAGAGCAGATATACATGCAAAATCATAGAAACCACTGTAGAATAACTGAGACAATGTTATGCAGCTCAAAGCAGCCAGAGGCTGGAAGAAGAATCTGAGTAAGACTGCAGAGAGGACAAGCAGAGCCGAGACAGCCCATCACAGCTGATCAACTCCCTGGAATAAGGCAGGTGGCTCTCTCCGTGCAATGCTCCCAGACCACAGAGAATGAGACAAAGACAGGCAGGACTGAGTGTCCTAACCTTTCGTAACACATTTAAGAAAACACCCAGCTGATCAGAGACAACAGGAATGTGACCAGCAGCAGTGAGGGGAGCTGGACACGCAGGGTCCTACCAACATCCGTGTCAATGACTATCATCCCATAATCTCAACTGCTGACACTGGAGTCGCTTCGACTGGCATGGCAAAAAGGCCCTAGGGGTTTAAAGAGTGCAGACCTGGCCTCTGAGCCCATCACGTGCCCAGCACCAGGACAGGTGCGTCCAGATTCCCTTAACTGGTTTGACTAAGATCCAATCTTTTTTTTTAAAAAGTTGCAGCCATGATGAGGAGCTGCGATTTCACCAGCCACCTGGGAGCTCTGGTGCTGGCCGCTCGGCTGAAGCCACTCAGCACACGGCAGCAACGGTCACTCGGGAGGACGAGCAAGAGGCCAGGCCTCAGCCGTTCAGGAGATGCGGGTGGCTTCCTGTGTTTTTTCTTTGCTGCTGTAACTGTTATAGCGCCAAAGACCACAACAGGGAGAAGAGCAGCAAGGGGAGGTTCTGATGTCCTCAAAGGAAAAGAAATTTCAAAGATCTAAAACGCATTCAATTTTTATTAAATAACGTAAAGGGTTTCCTTGGCACCATCCACACAGATCCTCGCCTTTACGTGTAAAACAAGCCACGTTAATCTGCACCGGCCGCAGGGAGAGCTCCTGCTCACCCATGCGGTCACATCCCAAGAGTGTGCTTGTCCTCTGGCTCTGGTGGGCCTTCCCCTTGGCAGCAGGCTCCAACAGGCTGCCTCCCTGGGCCCTCCCCTCTCTGCGCGCGTCCTTCCGCACAGACGGCAGCCGTGCATGGTCACCTGGAGGAGCTGCGCTCTTTGCTCACACAGTCGTCCTGGGAGGTGGTGTCCCCGTTCCCCATCATGCCACACGTCCTCCTCTTCTTTCTGCGGTGCGCCATCCCGTCACCCTCGGACCCCGACTCACACTGCACGTGGGGGAGAAAGACAAGTCAGCCAGGCACAGCCCACTTCATCAAGCCAACCTCTGACTGCAGGAGCAAAGCCGTCATTTACAGTAACCCTGAGTCTGACTCGCCACCAACTGATGACGCTGGTCCCTTGAGAGTTGCAACCAGCCCTCAGATACTGTTATTCTCTAGTGAGTTAATCGTTTGAAATCAGAACACCTGTTCTTAAAATAAGGAGCCCCACTGGTGCAGTGGTTAAGCATAGCTGCTAATTCAAAGGTCAGTGGTTCAAACCCACCAGCCGCTCCATGGGAGAAAGATGTAGCCATTTGCTCCTGTAAAGATGACAGCCTTTGAGTTCCTATAGGATAGTCCTATCATCACATGGGGTGGATATGCACTGGAACTGACTCAATGGCCCCCAACAATTCTTACAATATTTTACAGTCCGCATCACGGAATCTCACTGCACCAACATAGCGCGAAATATGCCAAAGTAAGTAAGCACAGTACTTCAAACTCATAAAATACACTCCCGAAAAGAGAATAAATTAGGTCATGTAAAGTCAAAACAAAAACCCAACTTGCTGCCATCGAGTTGATTCTGACTCATAGCAACCCGTTGGGTTTCCGATGTTGTAAATCCTTATGGAAGTAGATTGCCCCATCTTCCCTCTGCAGAACGGCTAGTGGGTCTGAACCGCTGAATTTCTGTTAGCTGCCAAATGCCTTAGGCACCGCACCCCCAGAGCTTCTCCCTGTAAAGCAAGTGATGGGAGTTTCATTTGCTAAAGGCACAGGACCTTCCTGCCCGGCACCGTGTGAGCTGAGAACAAGTCCCGGATATGCTGTGCTCTGCAGCTGGGAGTTTTCCATGCGTGGGGAAGACTCCTCACACGGGCTTTGGTCTATGTGAGTCTGAATCCTGACACCACTATTTGCTAGCTGTGTGAACGTGGGCCACTGACTTAGAAAGCCCCAAACGCCCCTCAGAGCTCCATGTTATGGTCACGATTAACACAGACGAGTGAAGCTCAGGGCGGCAAGCTGCACCCGCAGCCAGGGCAGCAGGGCAGATTTTGGAAGGGAGTGAGGCGACGCTCCTGTCCATCTACCTGGGTTCTCACTGGCATGTGCTGCCGGGAGCCGGCGGCGGGCGGGCCTCACCTCGGAGTCTGAATCGGACGAGCTAGAGCTGGACGAGCTGGAAGAGTCGCTGGAGCTGTCGGAGGCGATCCCCGTGGATTCCTGCAGGTCAACAGAGTCCGCCAGGGCTGCCAGCTCGGGGTGCTCCTGCTTCAAGATCCTGAGAGACAAGGCGGCTGCCCTCAGCGTGTGCCGCACGTGGTGCCACACACAGCGACTGAGACGCAGAGGTGAGGCTGCGTCTCTTACAAACACCCAGGAGTGCAGGTGCACCCGCAGAAGGGTTCCTGGATGGTGGCGAGGACACCCGGCCACAGGCCGGGCACCAGAACCTCCAATGTGCTCTTCTCGGAGGGCGACAGGACGCTGCCGCCCGCAGCTGCCCAGAGGAGTCGACGCACTGCCCACCAACTTAAGGTGCTTGAGATTGTCTTACATCTCCCCCCACTCCCCCAAAAAGACAAGCCCCCTCTCCTAGTTTCCTTTCTAAACCCTTCTTAGACTTAAAAAACAAAAACCCTTTCCTCTCCACAACACAGCACTTGATCACTGGAGTCAGGTTTGGTTCAATTCCATTTGTAAGAGCAGAAAAAATTAAGTTTGTAAAAACACAAGGTGTTAAATAACAGAGACACCCACCCCCAACTCAAAAGATGAAACTGCTCTGGACTTTGAGGGGCAGCCCTCCCGTTCTGGAACCTAAGCTGGTGTCCACTGGCATCAGTGGCGAGGCTGGTGCAGTGACCCCAGCACAGTGGCCTTCACGGCAGCATAGGAGCGGGCCTCCGAGGGCCACGAGTGTGGGGGAACAGAAGCCACCACCCCTGCTGGCCCTCTCAGCAGGGAGGGAGGCTGAGCCCTGAGCAAGCTGGAACCCCTCTCTTACCCCGACAGCTGGTCCCTCCAGGTCAGGGTTGGGACACAGTGGCACGGGGTGGCTGGGGGTGGCTTGCACTGCCGCTGCCCGTGCTGTATCTGTTCTGTGGATAAACAGAGGAGCTAAGTCTCCAGGGCAGTCACCTCACTCACAAGAACTGAGGAAATACGTTCAAATAGGAACAATGCTTCCGGGGAAGATAAAGAAATAAGCAATACCAAACCCAAACCAAACCGCTTCCTTTGCCAGTGCCAGCTTCGGGAAGCAAAAACAAAAAAGAAAAGAACCAAGCCCAAGGAGGACTGCTCCGTGACTGGCTTTGCTCACACATGCGGGGTCCTAACCGGCCTCCTTGAGGCTGGCAAACACCCTGAGATCAGCCCTGACCGTGTGCCCGCTCCTCGACCCACGAGGCCGCGTGGCCCCGGCTCTTCCCAGGCGCCTCTAGGAACAGCACTCGTTCCCTCGTTCCTCCACTGGGCTCTTTGTCTTCCCCTCAGGGGTAGAAAACGGAACAAAGCAAACCTGAGAAAAAAAAAAGTCTCTCACCTATACCACTTCCTGGATAACTTTGGCCTCCCTCTTACCGTCTTGTGCCATACCACAGGGAAGTTGGTGCTGCTGGCAAAGTTCTGTGTGATGGCAATGGTGGTGTCAAGGTTGAGGACAACATGCCACCAGCCTCCTGAAAGCCAACAGAGTAAACCGTTCAACAGGGTTTGGTTCCAGACACAAGGCAGCAAGTTCTAGGAGGGGGATACTCTGCCTAAATGCTTTCATATGCTTATCAGGTCAAGCTAAAGCCTGGCTTTCACGGGTGGGACTCCCTGCCTTCCACCCCAGGTGCAGTGGTTTGCACCCACCAGCTGCTCCACGGGAGAACGATGTGCAGTCTGCTTCCATAAAGATGTCTTTACGGTCTTGGATACCCTATGGGACAGTTCCTACTTGTCCCAGAGTCACTAGGAGTTGGAACCAACTCGAAGGCAACAGGTAAGCATGTAAACGTTGGTGGCACAACAGTTAAGCAGCTGGCTGCTAAATGATACTCGCCCAGTGGCTCCGTGGGAGGAAGACCTGCAGATCTGCTCCCATGACGATTACAGCCAAGAAGACACCACGGGGAGTTCTGCTGTTACAAGGGCTCACTTGAGTCAGAATCCACTCCACGGCACCCCACAACTCAGAGTCCCTGGGGGGCCCCTTGGTGGAGCTCTGAACTATTGAGATGCTAACCACAAGGTCAGTAGTTCAAACCCACCAGCTGCTCCACAGGAGAAAGATGACAGTCTACTTGGTAAAGGTTTACGGCCTTGGAAACCCTCTGGAACAGTTCCACTCTGACCTAAAGGGCTGCTATGAATTGGAGTTGACTCAGTGGCAGTGGGTTTAGGTGGTCTGACCTGCTAACTGAAGGGATGGAGGTTCTGATACCAGAGGTGTCAGAAGAAAGGTCTGGCCATCTACTTCTGAACCCTCAGCCACTGAGAACCGCAAGGAGCCCAGTTCTACTGTGACCCACATGGGGGTGCCACGAGCCGGAATCTGCTGGAGACTCCCGACTCAGCCCACTCAGTGCTACGCTGTTTACTGAGACACTGTGTTCACAGCAGACAGCAGGCACCCTCTATGGATAAAGGTTACTAGGATCATCAATAACTTTACAGTAAATATGGACCACAATCCCCTAACTGCTGGTGGCCCGCAGCTCCATAGCTATGGGCACCAAGTCAGATCACCTAAAGTCAGCATGCAAAGCAATCTGTGACTCAAGTCTATGGCTCCGCTCTGAAACAAAAAACTACTCAAGTCAAAGCTTGGGCTTCCTTCCAGCTCACGTGTACCTGGTACAAAGACAGTCTCTCCGGGTTTCTGTACAATTTCCAGCGGTTTGAATTCGGGCGGCCAGGTTGGAAGCTGAGTCCGCGGATGAATGATATTAAACCAGGTGATCGCCTCGTCTTGCTGGTTCCCTCCCTCCTCGCGGGTCACCTTGATGAGCTCCCTGGGCGTGCTGGTAGGGAACAGGCACCAGCGCTTATGGCCCTGCACTAAGGCGTTCCAGGCACTGGTGCCTAGAGGGTCGATGTGGATGCCTGTCCCGGACCGTGGCGGGCCCATCACAAACCACCTGCAGGACGGACACAGCAAGATTTGAGGCTCACGTACACCTGCTGCGCCCCCCCAAGGTGGCAGCTTCTCAGTTTGTGAACGGTGTTGTATCCCTTGGCCCTAGAAGCATCATATGAAGCATGAACCATTTCCAAGCACCCTAAGGAGAGAATGAGGGGCTTGAGAAAGGAGATCAACTGTTAAGTCTGTACTCTGGGCACTGGGTTGGCAATACTGCTACTTTCTGTTTTCCTCTCCTTTACTGAGCCTCCCTAACAGCACTATGAGGTGCTACTATCACTCAATCTGGTGTTGCACCTCCTTCCCGACTCCCAAGTCTAAGCTGTAAGGAGGTGGATACTTTTCTGCAGTGCGGGCGTGGGGTAAAGTGCTATGCCAAGGTAGTCACCTCAGCTCCCCAAGACCTACAATTCCTCTGGGCTGTTGGCTGCTTCCAATAGGGTACTATTTCAAAGACGACAGACACTGACAGCTTGCAGGGCTGAGCGAGAGTTTAACATGGGGGCCCCCTTATCACTGGGGTCCTCATCCTTTAGGCTTGGGTTGGAACCTGTAGCATCTGCCTTGCCAACTCCTCGGGCAAAGCAGGGTAGACTCCAGAGCAGTGGTGAGATGGGATTGGAAGCTGCCGAGATTAGGTTACAAAGGGCGGACTGCCCCACAACCTATGTTCTGACAAAGACCAAAATCCACGTTTCCATTCGACTGTGACTGTTAATGGGCAGACACCAGTTATCTTTTTAACTTTCTTTCAGAGACTACACAATTGTGGTAGACAGAAACGCTGAAATAACTGTGGATGGATCCAGGCAGACATCAGTAGCCCCCAGGGCAAGTTCAAGTGCAGCCAATGCTGAACTGCTCACTGGGCAAAAGGTTAGCTGAGTGAACTAACAAACCAAGGAAAGGCAAAAGGTTGGCTAACCCATGCTACGCCAGGTAAGATTTTCATCATAGAACTGGTGGGTGCTTTACCTGTAAGGGGGCCTGCGCTTCTCCCCTGCATACTGGAACAGGTCGTCAGTGAAAAATTTGGGCACCTTGTAGTCTTCCAGAAGTTTCCTCCTTTTAGGGTGTTCCCCGTAGCTGCTGTCGAAGATGTAAAGGGGGCTGTCGTCCCTGGTGCTCTCCATGTACTCGATGTAGTACTTCATCTTCATCTTCACGGAGTAGCCGTCGTTATCCTCCCCACACTTGAACTTCTGGTTCCGGTATTTCCTTTTGAGGCGCTCCAGAGTCCACTTCTCCTGGGCAGACCAGCCCTCTTGGGCGTTCAGCAGAACCACGGGCTTGTAAGGTTTCTCATACCGTTCTACAAATTCTTCCACTGAGAGCTGTCGAGCGTCAGCCCTTTCCACGTTATCCTGAGGGAATCAGAAAAGACCTGAGCAGTTAAAAAACGAAAAGGAACAAGTCCGACCTATGAGTCCCCCGTGGCCCATAGCAATGGCATACCTAACGAGCCAGATTCTAGTTCCGGCTCCTCCCGGGGGTGCGGGCTGGCGGGCCGCGTGCGTGTAAGCACGTTGCACCCAGACACCCCGCCAGGGGCGGGGGGCTTCGGGAAATCGCCCACCTGAGCCGTGCCAACCAGCTCTCCTAGGGCTCCGCCCCCCAAGGCATCTGGGGCGACTGGCGTCGTGCTGGAGGCGCCAAAAGCCTGAGATTCCGATTGCCCGGGCAGGCGAGTGGCTGCGGCATGGAGGAAGGAGTCTGGGACTCCGGTCTGCCCGACTCGGCGGGGCGCAGGTGAGCCCCTCCGCGCACCGAGGCGCTGCGCCCGGGGCGGGCCCCAGGAAAGTGCGCGGCCGCCTGAGATGCCCACGCACGGCCCTGCGTGCCCGGCCCACTCACCGCCACGGCCGCCGGGTTCAGCGGGAAGCTCTCGTAGTAATTGTGCCGGGTCCAGTCCAGCGAGTCCTTCAGTTCCGGCCGCGCACTCCGCTTGGCCTCGCGAATCCGCTTCTTGCTCTTGTGGTTCATCCTGCGCGGTCACCAGCTGGCTCCGCGACGGCCTCGGGCGCAGCTCGCTTCCTGCCACCAAGGCGCACCCCCCCCTCCCGCCAGCCTGGGCGGAGGTGCCGGCCCCCAAATGCCCTTCGCGCTGGCCTGGCGCCTTTAAAGTCGCCTTCCAGAAAATTCACTCCCTAACCACCTCCCCAGCCTCGGGTTGGGCGTGCAGCGCCGTCTTCCCCGCCTCCGAGCCTGTCTCGGCCATCCATTGGCCTCCGCTCCTGCAGGGCCTCCCTCAGCCACATCGGGTCTCCGCCATCTTGGGAAAGTCAAGGCGAACGAGGCGCCACGCCCTCCCAGAGATCGCTTCCGGTGTGCGTCAATTCCGGCCACTGCTCCCTCCGCCTCAGTTTCCGGCCAAGTCCATTGCTCCGCGCTCTTTTTGCTTGTGTCAGTCTGTTTGCTTCGGGTTGGTTCTTCGCGCGGCCTTTGCACGTCGCTCACGTGAGGCTTTTCTTCTTGCCGCCGAGTCGTATCAGCAGGCTGGGGCCGTGGAGGGTCACGTGGCGCCGACGTGGCGGCTCCACGCGAATCCCCGAGAACCGGCGCACGCAGCCTGGCGGTCCCGCGCCCTCCGCTGCTGCCTGTGGCCTCGGGGTCTGCCAGCGACGCCTCTCTCAGGGAGCGAGGCTTCCAAGGGCATGTGGTCCGGGCTCAGCGCTTTCGGTTCTCGGAGGAGCCGGGCCCAGGAACCGAGGGGGCCGTGCTGGAGGTTCACGTCCCGCAGGTGCGTGCCACGGCACCCGCGGGCTGGTGGCGCCGAGGGCAGGAGCGGTTCTGAGCTGACGTGGCGGGAGTAATTAATAAGGATGGTTGGGGAGGGGACCCTCAGCTGCGTCAGTTTTCTTCGTTAGATTTGACAGCAGAGCAGAAAAGTTTGCTAGATCTGCCTCTTGGTAGGTTAAATGTCTTTCAGGAAGAAATTTGGGAATCCTGCCAGGAAGGGGGCTCTCCACACCGAGTGTTTTCTGCCAAGGAATTGGCGTTCTTGACAGCTAACGTTTTGTTTGATCTTGTTGAAGAGCTTCCTAATTCAGCTTTCTCTGTCACTTTTGTATGAGTTTTAAGACCGGGGATTCCAGTTCACTACTTTGAGCTCAGAGCTGCCATAGAATTTACTCTAATAATCCCAGATCCCACCCTACTGCCATCTCTGGTAGCATAGTGCCCAAGGCACTTGACTGCAAACCAGAAAGCCGGCGGTTCAAACCCACCAGCCACTCCTCAGAAGGTTGGGCAGTCTACTTCCACAGTGATACTTCCTCCCACAGTTATACTTCCTCGGAAACCCAGGGGGGGGGGTCGCTGTGAGTCAGGTCTGACTCCACGGCACATAACAACAATTGCCATCCAGTAGATCCCAACTCAGGGAGCTCTGGTAGCATAGTGGCTAAGACACTTGCCTGCTCACCAGACAGCTGGCAGTTCAAACCCACCAGCCACTCCTCGGAAGGAAGGTTGGGCAATCCTACTTCCGTAGTGATACTGCCTTGGAAACCCAAGGAGGACTCGCTATGAGTCCGGTTTGACTCGACAGCACATAACAACAACAACAGATCCCAACTCATAGCGAACTGCCCCCACAGGGTTTTCCAGACTAAATCGTTGGGGAAGGAGAGTGCCTCATCTTTCTCCTGCAGAACGGCTGGTGGGTTGGAACCACCGACTTTCTGGTTAGCAGCCCAGTGCTTTAACCACTAGGCCACCAGAGATCCTCGCTAATAATAGTAACCTTCTAGCCACTCTTTGGGAGCTCTGGTAGCATAGTGGCTAAGACACTTGCCTGCTAACCAGATGGCTGGCGGTTCAAACCCACCAGCCACTCCTCGGAAGGAAGGTTGGGCAATCTACTTCCGTAGTGATACTGCCGACAAGAAGCCACTCTTTGGAAGGAAGGGGGGGCGATCTACTTCTGTAGTGATACCGCCTCGGAAATCCAAGGAGGGGTTGCTATTAGTAGGATCCCACTCTGCAGCAGTGCATTTGGGGTTTTTTGTTCGTTTGTTTTTTCAAAGCACTTTCATTTTCCAGCATTTCATTTGATTACTTCAGCAGCCTGTGGAGGAACAGGTGTTAGCCCCATTTCCATGTGAAAAAAACGGCTTGACAAGTTCAAAATTGAAGTGGAATCGTTTCTGAGTCTCAAAACGCTTTTACTGTTGAAATGCCCTTTTGGATTACTTCCTGGATTTAGCGGCGAAGAGACTCCTTGTGAGACTAGAGCCCCTTTTCTTTACACCCAGATCAGCGGCACTCGTCCGCTGTTCATTGCTGTGCTGGGGAAATCCACTAGAATGGAAGCCCCAGCAGGACAGGTGCGCTTGTTGTTGTTCACACTGTGCCTACACTTAAAACAGCATGTTTTGGGCAGTCATGGTTCTGTTGAGAGGATTGAAGGATTATGTTTCGATCCTCCCTTGGGACAGCATAATGAAGCCCGCCCTTCACCTTTGATATTTTCACTTCTTCACCCTCCTTTCCTACCACCCCACCAGGGGCACCCTTTGCTCCAGATGATGAAAAGGCTTGCAATTTTTCCGTTTGGTAATCCTGGACTCTGTTCCTGGCACTGTTCTAAGTGGTTTGCATTTGATCTTCCAGTCACCCTGTGTGACGGCATTGTGCTGTTGAGGAAAGGCACAGGGGTAGGTCTTGTGCAAGGTCATGCAGCTAGTCAGTGACAGGTCTGGAGTCTGAAGCCCCGCAGCTCAGTGCGGAAGTGTGAGCTGTGTGACAGGGCTCCCTGAATCCCACGCTGTGATGATTGCATTCCCTCCAAAGGCTTCCTACGTTTCTGTGTAGCTTCAGGATTCAGCTCTATTCAGACCTCCCCTGAGAAGTTTCCTAGACCCGCTAGCACATCAAGTTATATGATCTTATTGCACTTAACAAGTACAATCTAAACTTATTACCTACCATAGCCTGCAAACCCTCCCAAGGTCTGGCCACCCCTTCTGACCTCCATTTGCACGCATACCCTGCCTCCAGCCCCACCCCGGCCTGTTTCACCAGGGCTTTCCAGGCTGTGGCCACCGACTCCCGACGGATCTTTCTGGAAGCTCTGTTCTCTTTGAACAGTGGAATTGTAGGATGCTTCTCCGGTTTTCAGCGGCTGTGATCTTTTGGAAGCAGGTCACCAGGCCTTTGTTCCATGGTGCCTCTGGTTGGTCTCAAGCTCCCAACCTTTCAGTTAGTTTACAGCCAAGCGCTTGTCCGTCTTGGCTACCCCGGACTACTTCCTCTCTTACATCACAGTGTTTTGTTTGTAGCATTTATCGCTAAGCAAAATGACCTCATATCGTTGCAGGTTTCTCCCCAATATGATACATGCTTCGTGAGGACGGGGACCTTGTCTCTCACAGCTACATTCCCAGCCTAGAATAGTGCCTGATACTTGGGCATGAGAGAAATGCTTGTGGAATGAGTATGAACAGCCCTTACGCAGTTATCGCTCTGTAGGCTGTGAAGAACTAGAGAACAGGGACTGCTTTTTCTCTTCCTGCTTTAAAATGTTAAGTTGTTGAGAATATACACAGCAAAACACACCAATTCAGCCATTTCTACACGTATTAATTCAGTGACATTACCTTTTTACTGTTGTGCACCCATTTTCACTCTCCTGTTCAGAGTTGTTCCTCCCCCATTAACAAACTCACTGCTCCCTAAGTGTCCAGTATTTCGAGTCACTTTTGTTGATTTGGTCCCATACAGACCTTAAGAGAGCGTAATGCTCAAGGGAGACTTTTTTTTTTTTTTAACCAGTTAAGCTACTGTTTGGTTTTAAGACTTCAGGAGATATTTTTGGTTTAAGTTTTAAAGATTGTCTCAGAGCAGTGGTGTCAAAAGTTTGTCTAGCTCTATGACTCCAGAAAGTCTAGATTCCATGAGAATTTTAAATTGTGTTCTGCAGTTTCCCCCTTTTGATCAGGATTCTTTGGGGTCTTTGATCAAAGTGTTCAGTAATGGTAGCTGGGTACTACCTAGTTCTTCTGGTCTCATGGCAAGTGAGGCAGTTGTTTATGGAGAGAATGAACCCCACATTCCATATCCTCTCCCTTTTCCTGACTCCTTCTGTTGGTCCAGGTAAAGACAGAGACGATTTGTGCCTTGGATGGCTTTTGCAAACTTTTAAGATCCCTGTTGGAAAAAGGACACCAACAGACTTGTTTGACCCAGGGTTACCACAAACCTTCAATTTGTAACAAACGGTATCTGTGAAGCACAATAAAATGCGGTATGCCTCAATTAGGCCAATTAACTGGGATGAGGGACCGCCATTTTTGTAAGATGCTGGTGTTCGGTGCTCTCATAAATGCTGTGTAAATAGTCCAACTTCTAGTAGATGTTTATGGCAAATAAACTTACCTTCACAGGTCCTGCATACCCAGTATGGAATGTATGTTTGGCCCTGTGCTGTGGTCCTGGCCCAGTACCTGTGGTTTCACAGAAGGTCCCTGCCGGGAAGAGCAGTGGTAGAGGTAAGAACGGTCCTGCAAGTTGCCACATCTTAGCCTGTGTCAGATTTGTGTCCATACGCTTGTGACTGGTTTGTATGAAACAAACATAATCTGTCTTCAAAAAACAAGTTTTTTTTTTGTTGTTCAAAAACAAAAGTCTGTCTTCTAAATTAGGTCTTGGTTTAGGTTAGTGTATAAAGCCTGTGAACTAAGAGTGTTTATTCTTACATTTTTAAAGTATTAAAAAATGTTGCCCAAGCTCCTTTCTCACGGTTCCATTGGGCTCCAGACAGTTGCAGGCTTCAAATTTTTTTCAGAATTGTAAAAGCAGGTGATTTTTGGCGCTTTAAAACCCCAAAACTAACCAATTAGAAACTCACCCATGTTATTAACTGTAAGCTTGTGTTTCAGTCAATACAAGTTAGTGCTTCATTTTTGATTCAGGTATCTGAAAGGCTATCTTGCCACAGAAGATACAACCTGGGATACTGAAGTTATTTCAAATTCACTATCTCAAATGGTAAATAAATTTCAATTCCAAGGCATGTGTGTAAGCAATGCTTATGTCAGGCCTTTGGGAAAAAACCCACACCTTTAGCACGTTGACAAGTGGCTTACACTTTCAAGGCTGTCCTGGAGATAATCTTTCATCAAAAGCTGTGCCACAGAAAAGCAATTAAAGTGGGTACCTGGTTACCCAGTAACAAACCACCACATTATGTTCAATTTAGGTCTTTTAAATCCAAGTTTGTCATAGTATGTTTAAAGTTTAAACTTCCTTGGTAGTGTTTTATTACAGTGCACACAATTATTAGAGGTGTGACAAGCCCGAGCATATACTAATACACCAGCCAGGTACTTGTCAAAGATTCAAGGATGGAATGCTGTGAAACTAAGATCAAGTCTTTGCAGATCTACATGTACCTCTGCGATGCCATCTTTTTCAGATAGGAGCTGGAGTGAGCCTTCCAGGAGTCTTGGCTGCAAAATGTGGTGCTAAAGTCACACTGACAGACAACTCAGAACTACCTCATTGTCTCACAGTCTGTCAGCAAAGCTGCCAAATGAATAACTTGCCCCAGGTCCAAGTTGTGGGGCTAACATGGGGCCATGTATCTCCTAGTCTTCTGGCTCTACCACCTCAAGATATTATTCTTGCATCTGATGTATTTTTTGAACCGGAAGGTAAATCTTTTGTTCAATCATAAACTTGGGAGGGCTCTGAAGTGACAATCTATTAAATAGTCCTCTCTCTCCAGACTTTGAAGACATTTTAACAACAGTGTACTTTTTGATGGAGAAGAATCCAAAGGTCCAGTTATGGTCCACTTACCAGGTTAGGAGGTGAGCCTGAAAGACCCTGGGTTTACTCTCAGCTTTGTTTCAAAACTTGGGCCTTACCATCTCTGCACTTAGTTTAAGGGAAAATGTAATAGGCTATCTGAAGAAAAACAGGAAATGTAAAACTTTTAAAACAATTTATTATTATTGTTTTTTTAGTGCTGACTGGTCACTTGAGGCTTTGCTCTACAAGTGGGATATGAAATGCGTCCACATTCCTCTCGAGTCTTTTGGTGCAGACAAGGAAGAGATAGCAGAATCTGCCCTTCCAGGAAGACATACTGTTGAAATGCTGATCATCTCCTCTGCAAAGGGCAGCCTCTTACATCTATGAGCTGTTCTGGGACAGTGTCAATACTGATCAGCAACATAGCATACAGTCTGCCATTCAGTAGGCACTTTCAGGTTTTCTAGGGTAGAAACAATGGATTTCAAGTGGGCATTATCTGCTGGCCTTACTGTGATGGGTCACCTAGACAACATTCATGGATAATATAACCAAGACAAAAATTAAAAGACTTATTATTGAAAGAAGGCTTTGGAGTATTCTTCAGTCATTCATTAGCGCATAAATCAGATTTTGAGTGGGGTAGCCTAACCACCTCAAATGCTATTGCAACACTGATGTCATAGATGTGGATGCTCAGTTGGCATTTCTGCTATTCTGACTTAGGAAGTCAACAATTAAAACAATTCTTTTTCATACAGACTACCAATTCATCCAATGACATTCACAAGATTAGGTGCATCAATTCTTTCAAATAAATGGGGGAAAAAAAAAAAAAAGAAGACCCAGACATATTCTGATAAAAGCTAACACCAAGAAAAATGTTTTAATTAAACTACAGAAACAATGGTTATAGTACAGAATATTCATAAGCAAAAAGATACACCATGTTTAAGTACTTACAAAGTTACAAACCATTTGTTTCCTTAACATTTTTTCGTATTTTTTAAGTTCATACATGAAGATGATTGGATTTACCATTTTGGTGGGTGAGGGAAAAAAAAAGTGTATTATCATCAGCTAGATGTGCTCACTGTATGCTCCGTTATTTATATGCAAGGCCCGGGTGACTGGAAGTGCAGTTGTCAGGCATTTTAATAAACTGGACAGCCATTTGTTTCTGCACGACAAGGCAGCTTTACACAGGAGCAACCAGGAGAAAACAGGAAACAGCCAAGCACTCTGCACTGCAACACGCCACCTTAACAGCTAACCAGCATTACTCAACTGCTACACAACTGCGCCTAGTGCACAAAAATACATAAGAGAAGAGATTAGAATGGTGTTTGGTAAACAATCCTTCCAAAATATCAAGTCTTTTCACCTGAAAAGTCTTTATACAAATTTGGGTTCAGATTACCATTTAGATCTGAAGGTAAATAGCATATACAAATTTACACCAACTTTTGTAGGTTTTTAATTTTAAGGAATGAAGGCAATGTTGAGTCAATCTCTTGACAGCTTTAGGCTACTCAGCAAGTAATGGCTGCACACGTTTCCTTAAAAGTCAGGAGGCCACAAATTAGGTTACCAATCTGTTTAATTTCAAACAAAAAAAGTCAGCACTATATAAACAAAAATGAGATTTTACCTTAAATATCCAAGCCAATAATGAAATCTGAAGTCGTTCACCTCACTAAATTACAAGAAATTTGAATAACAGCAACAAAATGGTACATAAAAATGAAGCTTGCCACCTGAGGCAAAGCTTAAAACAAGTAAGAAGTTAGACAAATGTTACAAAATAACCTTTTCAATAGCCAGTTGCTTGTTCCAAGGACTCTTCGATGGACTGAGTGTGTGTGGTCCTTTCTCCCAAAGTCCTCCATTATGTTGCTTGCCGATACATCTAGGTTTGAAAAGAAAGAAATTCAGCTCACTTTCCATTACCATGAAGCTAAAGTGCACGTGGTTTCAATTTCAGGCATGTACTAAGGCTCTGGTGAAACAAGTGCATTAATGTAAGGTTCCACCCGCCACTGCATTTTTTAAAGGCCCGATTAGAAAAATTTTCAAAGGCTACCATCAGCTTTTACAAGTTCTGAGTTTGTGTATTCTTGCCCAAATAACCTAGGTTAAAAAAAAAAAAAAAAAAGTAAGGGGAGGAAAAAAAAGGGCTGTATATTCAAACAAAAACTTAAATTGCAATCAAAATTAGTTTTATATCTCTAAGACATTTTTAGTTTGCAAATGGAACATTTGGAAATTGAGAATAACTAATGCTTCCATGTCTCAGCTACTCAGGGCCCTTTCCTTTTTAAAAACAGGACCAAACAATTGGAGAGTTAAAGACACACTATCCTCTCCCCGCCCAGTGCAATACCTGCGAACTTTTTTTGGGTTCCAAAAGTTTATCGTGCTTCTTATTGTAATTGGTTTGCCACATCCACTAGAATACGAAGTCCCAGTCAGTACAATAGTTGAACTGATCGTTTTCTCTAAGAGGATAGTGCATCTTTAACGTTTAAAGACAAACCTGCTCCAATACACGCCCACAGAAACTGGTCCCTGGAGGATCAGCCAAATCAGTTAAAATCTGCAATACTGGCCAATATTCTTTTATCAAACAGGAGACCGCAGCTTTAAAGGGGAAAATGCAGACGTTGGATAAAAACAGCAAGAAATAGTCATTTTCATTCATAGGTCTCAAACAGTTCACGAAAGCGCCATTATCTCATCTTCACACACAGCCTCTCCGCAGACCCCTCTGCTCTCCAGCCTTATTCCCAAAGCTGAGCCACCTCCGAGCAGCCCCGCGCTCGCAGGCCCTCGGGGTGCACAGGCTCTCGCCACCACGCCCAGCCCCGGCACGACTCAGGCTGTGCGCCCCAGACCCGCCGCCATTACCATTGTCTTAAGAGGACACTGCTCCTTCCTCTTCCGGGGACTTGGGTGGACTCTTGGATCGCGATCTAGACTTGGACTCCCTCTTGGACACGGGCGGCGGACTCCGCGACCTGGACCGGGACCTGGAGCGCGAGCGCGACCTGGACACCGACGACGACTTAGACTTGGACCTGCGCGCCGATCTGGACTTGGACGTGGAGCGCGATCGGGAGCGCGTGCGAGACCGAGACTTGGAGCGGCTGTAGCGGGAGCGGCTCCGGGAGCGGGAGCGGCTGCGGCTTCGTGATCGGCT